TTCCCATGGATGAGAGTCATGATGACGTTCTGCTAATCGGCATCTTTCACGAATTATCCCATCACCCTAAATGAATGTGGACTTGCTTTGAAGAAACTCGTATTCTTATAAAGACGCATCCTCCTCGCGATCGATCGAATATATAGTTTATGAAAGTGATGTCACCACAGAAAGAAAGGAAAACGAAAACTGCCCTTCATTAATTCTGCAACACGTATGCTGCTCTAACCTGGGATGTAGAACACTGGATTTCACAGGAAGACGTTGCTTCTAACCTCTCTCCTTTGAGATTATGCTGTTTGAGTTCAGAGTCACTTGCAAGAATGTTTCTTGCATTTTTATCTATCTTAGAAATGATGTCAGCTTCATAAGCTGTGTCTCCCTTGCAGGAAGAGTGGGACGACAGCACTCTTAGCTGCATCATCGTCCATCACTCTTAGCTGAGAGTGATGGATGTGAACCCAGCTGAGAACTCGCGTGACGAGAAAATGATGGGCGCAAACGCACCCCACTGACCTGGGCGCGGGGTGGAGCTGGCTAGAGAGATGGATGGCGACACGGAAGCAAGAGCAGATATCGGTCCTTGATGATCGTCGTATTATGGAGTCGTTCGATCAGATTTCCACCACCAACACGGTCGACAAGAGATTTGACTTGGCAGTCGGGGAAAAGGAAATCTGTGGCTCTAATGATGTATGGGTGAACGTCTATGGCTCTTCCGTGCCTTGTCAGACTCCCAGAATCGGTTGTCCACCAGATGGTACAAGGACGTTGAAGACGATGAGAAGGAAAACGATGCCAGATTACCACTGCAATTCCCAGCCTAGCAAGGTGAGCATTGGTTTCTTTCTGAAGCGGCAGCAAGGTCTTTCATCAGCAACACAGATGCACGCCAAGGAAAGCGAAAGCGAAAGCGATGATGCTTGCTAGGCATGCATCATCGATATGCTTTTCTAAAATATGGAACCTGAATCTATGCATTCATGAGACTGCCGAACTGACTGACTCACATGATTAATCTTCTGCTGCCGTAGTTTTGCAAGTAGACACCGATCGTCTTCCAATAGTGTGCGTCTGTCAACGGTATCCATCCACACACGTTTATATCATTGTGAAAATCCATCGCTGTTTGGTCCTCCTAGATAAGCAAGAGGGAGCACGAGAGAGCAGCAAGAGAAGAGAAAAGGTGGAAGCAGGAACGGATCATCGAGAGCATGTATGAGATGGAAGGAACAGATATGTGATCCATCCATCGGACCACTGATAAATGCATCGTGAATAGGTTTCTTGCTGGATAAGCAGCTCCATTGCTAGATCCATGGCATGCAGTTTTTTTGAAGTTTCACCGAAGAAGCTCCATGATCGGACTTTTTATTAATTACTTTTTGTCTCTCTCACTTGTAAGAGAAGGAAATAAATAGTTGAGAAAGAATCAAACGCATGCATGTCATGCAGGCCAATTAGTCCCAACGGCTGTTCCGAGTTCGAAGGCCAGATGTATCCTCCTTTTGTCAAAGAAAAATAATATGCCTGATCAAAAGAACAACGTGCTCCATTAGAATCACAAGACCAACAACGACTTTCTGAAACCCAAGCAAAGGTGGATTAACAGTAACCACCGTGAAACGCTGTCGATTGAGTGAAGAGCTAGAAATTGTCGTTAAAAGACCAGAGATCAAACATTGGAGCTTAAATTAGACGTACGTGTGTAGTAGGAATAACCCCACCGAGCATCAGAGAATATCCTTTTTTTATAATAAGAACAAATTAAGCCAAATCAACAAACTGACGGACGAGAATGCTGAAATGCACCACAAGCAACACCATAGATCTCAAACAAGTACACCAGCGTTTGTTGAAACATGGAAGATGGACTCAAGGCCATACGCGGGCTAAATTGATGGCCAGAGCAATCCACAGCAGATAAGTTGCTTTGAGATGGATGGGGGCGGAGGATTCAGGTGCTGAAGCCGCGACTCCATCTGACATCACATCCCCGGGCATCACGTCCACATGCAATTTGAGTCCCTTCCTGCAGTTCTCCAGCTTACCGCTACTGAAGTAACGTGTGCCTTCTCCATCGAGACTCACTTTGTCAAGGCCATTCACGTACATCCTAATAGGGTTGCTCAGGTCACACGACTCGTACTCTTCCTTGCTCTGTAGCTCCATGAGGCTTTCTTCGGCCGCGGAGTATGCAAACCCTGCCAGCACCACAATCAACTTATAGTTTTTGCTAGAGATGCGTATTCCCGGGGTGTCAGATTATGTACTAGTCATAGATCACGGACGGCTTCACCATGTTTGATTTCAAGGAATTGGCAGCACGAGCATAAGCGGCATTAAAACAAACTTGATTTGACGGATTCGTAATGCATTTGCGGAATACCGGTGTTCAGATCAAACACGAAGCGCCCCGACAATTGGTGTAAAGTTTTCAGGAACTATGCAAGTTTAGCATGAGAGAAGGCAAGCGTGGATGGTTTAAAGGTTTGACTCGACGGATGATGGTTATTCCTAGGTAATATTATCAAGATCCGACACCTGACACTTGTTCTTCATAGTTTCATGGATGGACTTCATCACTATCATCGTGATGATCTGTAGTTTCTGGACTTGTTGAGGTTGCTAGCTGTATATGCTTCGACGTTTGCTAGATGTTTAGAGAACTATTGTAGATCACAAACCAGCAGGTTTGCTGATAGCATGTCTTCCTCGGCGGCCACTCACACAAGCACGCACGATGTATTTCTTAAAATCTATCTATCTAACAAAAGAAGGGGAGAGAGAGAGAGAGAGAGAGAGAGAGAGAGAG